CTGAACCCCTTGTCCATCTTTACATTGGTTAACGAATTAAGTGCTGCTAAAATTCAATCTTTTGATTAATTAATCTTGAATTTTTGCCAAGTCATCACAACAGGGCATGAGGGTGTTGGTGAAGACAAACTGCTGGCCAAGGCACAGACAGGCAGTGCTTGGGGTCCCCAGCCCACTGCCAGCCATCTGGGGGAGCCTGGTGAGCCACAGCACCCACAGCATCACCCTGCCAGGGAACTGCCTGCTCCTGTGTCCAATTAAACTGCTGGAGCGACCCGAAGAGGCAGAAAAGGTTGACTCAGGACTTGGCCAGGATCCTGGGACCGACACTGCAATTCATCCAGCAGAGTGAAACAAAAAAACAAAGGCGCTGGGAGTTTAAAGAAGTGTTTAAGGTCTTGGATTTGTGTCTCGTCAGTCATTTGATCCAGCCACAGGGCTCGTGTTAGTGGGTGGGAGAGAAATCCTGCCTGAGCATTAGGCACTGGAATCATTGTGTCTGGGAGGAGAAGCCTGTTTACAGTCGCTCCCTGTGGGTTGCCAGGCTCCTAGCAGAGCAGTTTGCACCAGATGGTCCCTGCAGCATCCTGGAGACACATCTCCTCCAGATTCCTGGCTAAGAGGAGACTCCTGGAGATCTCCTGCTTGGATTCATGCTGACCCCAGTGCAGTCAAGTGAGCATCAGCCGTTACAACAGCCTGAGCCCAACATGAGATCTTTCGGCAGCCTCGAGTGACAGAAAGTGCCAAGTGCTCCCACCAGGGTTACATGTCGCTCCTTCAGGACACCTGAGAGTGTTTTATGAGGATGCCTCAGCACAGCCTTTTGCAAAACCCCTCGTTAATTTTGGGCACAGTTCCTGGAGCTTGCAGAGCACCGTGCAGAGCCCTGACCATGCAGATGTGCCCTTGTGCCAGCAATGGAGCCTGGGGATCTGCTTTAGAGGCAGGACCCAGGTCTGGGTGCCAAGGCCTTGTGACGTGAGTGGGTGGGAGAGAAATCCTGCCTGGTGACACACGACGTGCTGAGCAGGTTAGAGAGACCAGAACAGTTTTCCAGCATGTCCTGCTGCTGAAATGCAGCTCCCAAGAGCTGGAGGTGAAGCAGCAATTCCAGCCATGATGCTGTTGGTGCAGCTCAGAGCACCTCCTGCCCAGGCTCTGCTGTCTCAGCCAGCCACTGACTTGGACATAAAGAGCTGGAATTTTCCTCCAAGGAGAAGTGACCCTCAGCTGAGGTGACTCAGAGCCTGCTGTTGGGATTAGTGGTGAGGGAGGTTTAGCAGCGAGAAGCTTTTGTCTTGCTGTGAGGCTTTTGGTCTGCAAGGGCAGCTGTGCTGAGTGTTGTGCACCTCGTGATGCCTTTAGGAGAGTTACAGGAGCTGATGTCTGCACAAAGGGATGTGGAGCAAGTAGTCATGCTGTGGGACACACCATCTCCCATAGGAGTCCACTGCTGGCTCCAGGTTTTTCCAAAGCAATGTCCAATGTGCCCTGAATGTAGAAGGTGAACTCAGCACCTTGAGTAGATGGCAGCAAGGGCACCAAGGCAAGAGCAGCATCTGGCAGAGATGGTAGGGAGTCAACAGGTTGGGGCTTGGAGACACACAGGTTAAAAAGAGGAGGGTGAACCTTGGGGTCCTCCAAGAAAAGCAGTTGGGCTGTCAAAAATCACATCACCCTCAGCAGGTTCTGGGTCTGGAGCAGAGCAATGGCGAGGAAGGCCATGGCAGGTGCAGGGCTGCTGGATCTCCTGTCTCTTCAGGACTCTCTGGCAGGAGTGTCAGAAGAGCCCTGCCCATGGGCCAGGAGGGCAGAGTGCTTCTCTGTGAGCTGAGTGGCTTGTGAGAATGTCCTCCTCCACCCCAGTCTCCCCTGTGATCATCACTAGTTTCATCTTCCCAACAGCTGGAGCCATGCAGCCCCCTCCAGGTATTATTTCTCCTCTTGTCTTGGCAGGTCGCCTATGGGACCACAGAAAACAGCCCTGTCACCTTCATGGGCTTCCCCAATGACAGCATCACCAGGAAAACTGAGACAGTGGGACACATCTTTCCCCACACAGAGGTGACCATGCACCTCCCCACCCATTCCAGGTCCTCTACCTGCAGCAGACCTTGGCCCATCCTCCCTGCCCGGTGCTGGAGCCAGGGCATGTCACCACATTTGGCTCAGACATCCCCTTCTTCTCTCAAAACACAGGCAAAAATTGAGGATCCAAATACAGGGAAGCCTGTGCCCCTGAACACTCCTGGGGAGCTTCTGATCCGTGGCTACTGTGTCATGCTGGGCTACTGGGATGACCCTGCCAAGACGAGGGAAGCAGTCACTGCAGACAAGTGGTACAAGACAGGGTGAGTCTGCAAGCAGCTCTGCTCCTCCCGGGCTGTCCTGCAGGGTGATGATGGGCAAGGACCGGTGTGTACAGAACACCTTTTCTGAGAATCCCAAGAGAGGGAAAACTGACCCATTTTAGCCCTCTGATCTGTCTGTGAAACTTCAGAACAGCTTTTCTGAAGCGCCTGTGGTGCCACCTGCCCTTGGAGATGGGGACAGTCACTTTGCAACTGATGTGATTGAGGGGCTGTGGGGGCACACAGCAGGGGCAGGAATTGCCTCCCCCCAAGCCCTGATGTTAGTGTGGATGCTGCTGATGGCAGTGTCTGGCTGTAGCAAGAGCTTGCTGATCTCTTCCACGTGGCCCTCCAGACCAGGCTGGATGGGAGCATCAGCTGTTCTCCCACCCAGCTGGGGCAGGGTTAGGAGTGTGGTGTCATTGCAGGGACCTTGCCAGCTTGGATGAAGATGGCTACTGCAAAATTATAGGCCGTTGCAAGGACATGGTTATTCGGGGAGGAGAGAACATCTACCCAGCAGAAATCGAGCAGTTTCTCCACACCCACCCCAAGGTGGAGGAGGTCCAGGTGAGCTGGGGAAAGGTGAGGGGGGTGAGTGGTGATGGTTCCTATGGTGGGTGTCCTGGTTTGAGCCAGGATGAAATAACAACTGCTCTTAAGCCTGGAAGTGTTCAAGGGCAGGTTGGATGGGGCTCTGAGCAACCTGGACTGGTGGGAGGTGTCCCTGCCCATGCAGGGCAGTTGGATCTAGATGATCTTTAAGGTCCCTTCCAACTTAAACCATTCTGTGACTTGGAAGGCTGCTGTAAGTGCTTTGGGGTCTCCAGACTGAATGGCAGGAGACAGATTAAGTCAGATTAAAGGATTATTTGAAATCCTTATAATGGCAGGTTTTTGTAGACCACTGCTTGTGGCTCCAGGAGATGGGCTTCTCAAGCCTATTTCACCAGAGTCCCACTGCCATTCCCCACCTTGAACCAGTCATGTTGATCCTTTTGAGTCCAGAGCCACTTCCAGGGATGGGGCTTCCACAGCTTTCCTGGGCAACCTGTTTGTGTCTCAGCACCCTCACACTAAAGAATTTCCTCCTAATATCTCACCTAAATCTCCCCTCCTCCAGTTTTAATCCATTACCCCTTGTCCTCATTCCAAGCTCTTGTAAAAAGTCCCTTCCCAGCTTTCCTGTAGCCCCTTCAGATACTTAAGTTCCCCTGGTCCCCATTGTTTGGGGAAGCAGAGACACATGGGGGGTGACAGGTCCACGCTGCACCCACGATGAGCTCCTGCCTGGCTGGTCTGACTCAGCCCTCACTCCACTGACTTTGCAAAACCAAAGGGAAGTGCTGACATCACTGCCCAGCCTGCTCTGCCACCTTTCCTCTGCCAAACATTTGGGAAGTTCCTGCGGGAGGGCTCGATGTCACGTAGGTCGTGCTGGTGGATGGTCAGGCAGCTCAAGCTGTCTTTAGACAGCCCCACACCACTGGTGCTGTGGGCCAGCACACGTACCCTGCGGGAGGAGAGGGGTGTCCCCAGGGGTCACACTGTCTGTCTGTCCCAACCAGGTGGTTGGTGTGAAGGACACACGGATGGGAGAAGAGATCTGCGCCTGCATCCGAGTGAGGGCTGGCCAGGACTGCACAGAGGAAGAGATTAAAGCTTTCTGCAAAGGCAAGGTGGGTCACCTGCTCCTCTGAGCCCAGTATTTCAATTCTCTGATGGACCAGAACACCCAGTAGCTGCTGGGGATTTGCAGGTGTAAGTGAGGGGGTTTAGAACTGGGGATCCAGCCCTGGCTTGGGCCGCACCACTGGGCTGGATTCACTCTTCCCAGCAAGTTGTAGTGGTTGGTTTTCTCTTCCCAGATCTCCCATTTCAAGATCCCACGGTATGTTGTGTTTGTGGCTCAGTACCCACTCACTGTCTCAGGCAAGGTAAGAGAGGAGCTGGGGAAGGGCAGGAGCCCCATCCTCTTGCCCCCTCTCCTGTCTGAGCCTCTCCTCCTCTCTGCACTTTATTCCAGATTCAGAAATATAAGTTGAGGGAGCAGATGGAGAAGCATCTTCAGCTTTGATCTCAGGAAGTTAGGACCAAAAAGGGGATAAACCAGCCCCACTTCAGCCAGCTTTTTTGTCTGCTTTCCACCTGTGCCTTTGGCTTACACAGTGGAGACCTCCTCTCCCTGCCATCAGGCTGATGGTGCTTTCTAATAAAAGAGAGAGCCTTTTTTTCCCAGTTGGGTTGGTTTCTTTGCCAACAGAAATACAGGAAGGGATGCTCCCCAGGCCCCCAGAGTCGTGCACAAGCAGAGGGGGCTGGGGCAGCCCCCCACACCCCAGTCAGCCCTTCAACCTGGGCCCAGTTCATTTATTTCCCACTGCTGACAGCCCCTGGGTGCCCACTGTGCCCTGTGGTCTCACCGCCATCCCTGTCCCCCGCTGGGCTCCTCAGGGCCCCATGGGCTGCTGCAGGTTGGGGTGCCTGCAGAGCCCAGTGCTGCTGCAGCTGGCAGAGCAGCCCAGGCAGCAGCGAGTCCAGCAGGGCCAGACCCTCCCAGGAGCACCGCAGACCCCTGGGGAAGAAGCAGCAGCTTGAGCCCCCAGTCCCATGTGAGAGCCCCC